TTTAGTTTTCAGATGGAAACAAGCCAGATAAACTGGGTGAATTATGCTCTCATGCATCTTTATCTTATATTTACATTTTCACAAATCGGAAAGCTCCTCAGTTTTGTTGAGACCCCACAGCTGGTGAGCTTTGAGCTGTTAAATTTCTTGGCTTTAATAGAAATATGTATAAATAGCCTCCATAACACAGGAAAAAAAAAATCCATGCATATCCTCAGCACCATGTGGGGCAGTGCAAGTTAGAATTCCAATTTTCTTATTTATTGCATCTAGTTTATGATAATATGTATCGCTTGCAAGTATTTTACAGCTGTTTATCCTACAGAAAATGAGGTGATGATTGAATATTATTGGCATTGGTCATTCCTTATTTATTAGATGCAATAAATAAGGAAAGGGGAGTTCTCCAGTGTACGAACCATTAATTCTTTTCTATGCATAAAGAGCCATTTTTAAAATTTTCTCTCAAATGCAGACAGCTGGATCAGATAATATTTGTTTGGTAAGGTCTCATAAACTTTTGACTTGGAGGAGTTACAAGCATCCACCGCACCCGTGATCTGTATAGCCACCAGAAAATGTTCTGCAACTTCTTCACAGGACACTGTGAACTAACCTAATTGAACAACTTTCTTTGGTTTCTGCTACAAGACCACAGCTGTTAAGGTGCACCTGAGAAGATGGGAGTTGTGTTCTGGGCAGCTTCCTGTGAGTTTAATTACATAGATGTACAGCAGGATTATAAAAGAGATGAGAAGAGCACACTCAGCGGGTCTACACTCATAAAATTAAAGGCTGGAAAAAGAATAATAACTATTTGTAATAATGTTTAATGCAGATCATCCAGCATGAAAGAAACAAATGTATTTAATATGCACTTCGTACATTTATTCCCAAACGGTTTCGAGCGGCAACTCAATACAAAACTATCCAACCCAAACAGCAGTCCCCCCCGCCCCCCATACTACTACAGAAAATAAGAGCTCTGTTTTAAAGGCTCTTCGGATTTATCAAAACAGCAGGAATTGCAGCACAGTCAGCACAGAGTCTCCTCCCTCCTGACTGAGCCTCTTCATCATTTAGTCTTTTCGTGACATAGTCTGTCAGAGCGGAAAATTCTATATTTGCCATAGACACGGCAAAGCAGACCAAGTTAGCAAGCACACTGGTTTATAAGCTAGGAGATTATTACTAATATTTGTGGTTAACAGGAATATGTTTGATCTGAAGGAAGGAAAATAGATATAAAATCTGAAAAGGAAGGAAATGTTAGCTTCTCCAACTTTCCCTATTCCCTCAGTGTCCCCTTTAGGGCCATTTCATATTCCCAGAGGAGCTGTTTCCCGTTCGCCATGGGAATAGGGAATAGCTATAAAATATTTATTTAAACAACCCAAATGCCCCTGTGTTGTATGGGGCAGATGGTTTACTGATTTAGAAACAATTAACAAAATAACTGAACCATGTTCATGTTGCTTTGTCACTGCTGTTTCCAAGGTCACAGATGAATCGTCAGTCTTCCATTAAATATCTGTTTATACAAAGTGCCAGATTCTTTTGTACAGTTTTACAATTTATATTAGCAGTTATATAAGTAAATAGGATTTTTGTAGTAATTATAAGCGCGTAAGGAAGTGCAGTTTCATTTGGCACCAGGTACAGACACACTAAGCTCTCACTATGGTGCAACGCGTCCATCCAAGATCATGAATGTCAATTAAGCCCATTTGATAGCGCTCCCATCATGTGGCGGAGCTGCATAATTAGTGGTTATAATTCAGAAACAATGATCTGGGCTCCAGCTGCCCACATTGGCCTCCAGGCACTGCACAGGATAAGATGAACGGCCCTGCTCACTGGCTTCATACAGCCAACAGCACCCATGGGTGAAGTCCAGAACCCTTGTGACAGGTTGACTTTGTCATTAAGTAGCAGCTAGTAACGAGCTCCGGGTCCCGTGAACAGATCCCGACACATCGTTACTCATTAGGTAAGGGGTAGTGACTAATTAATATGCCTGGACATTAATCATTGTGTAATGAAGTGCAGTTTTTATTTGTATTTAATTTATTTAATTTTAAATTTGATTGCCACCAACATAGTGTCAAAAGCAACACAGTAACAATAATGCAGTGGAGTTTACATAAAATACCAGCAAATGTAAGACATTAAAGCACATGCCATAAGACTTTTACATTCCACATTATACCCTTTGTCAAGAATAACTGAAAAATGTGACTTGATTCTTGTCATTTTTGAGCTGGCAGGACATCTATACTGATATAAAGGGTTAGAAATAGAAGGATGCCACTTTGTTGGACTCCTCCAGATCACTTATTTTTATTGATATGTCAGTGTCTCTGATCGGACATCAATGCTACACTTTAACTGTGTTTAACCTCCTTAAGTTGTGAGAGAGACCGTGTTTTCACTTGATTACCTGTTATTTTACTTACGTTGGGAACCTAAACTATCAAATCCTGCAAAGATTTTGGTTTGGGTTAAAATATTCCTCTTCAATATTGTGTAGACTGCACGTTGATGAATCACTGCTGTGTTTAAATATGATGCCAATCATTCACAAACAAACATGCATATATCAGGAGAGATATTGCCATAACCCAGTAAGGTACAGACACAAGCAGCAGTATTTAAAAGACCAGGACTGACAGTTAGCTGAAATACATCATTATCAGTTTGTGCTACTTGTACCAAATTAAAATGTCTGCTGAGAACTATTTTGTGTATTTAGATCATGCTTGTAGGTTTCATCCACACCACTCCAATTGTTGAACTGTGAATAACAGCCAGCTCTGTGCAGCGACCTTTAAAAAACATGATGGTTGCATAAATTGATCACATAAATCTTTATCTGAACTCTCTGCCCCTTTCACAACTGGAAACATCGATTTAGAAAATTCGGTTTGTTGTAGTTTAGCAACCTGATCAGACATGCTTGATGCTTTACAGTAAAATGAAAATATGAGCTACTGCCTTTTTATTAATGCGCTTTATACAACACTTAAACCTGCAGGTACTGGCTCCATGCACAGATAAATATCCTTTTAACTGAAGCAGATCGTAGAGATCTTTTTGTCCGGCCTCTCTTTGTATCCCTGGTCACTCACAGACATCAGTCATCACTCAGGCGGCCCTCCCAAATGTTTTTGTTTACCTTGAGGAGGAAAATGCCGCAGTATTTTTCTTTGTCACGAAGGAAATACTGACGTGACAGAGTGACACCACTTCGACTGCAGCTCATCACTGAGATGACACTTCAGTCCTTTGCAGGATGCTTCAGTGTGTGTGTGTTTGTATAGTGTAGGAGGTGGTGGCGGGGTGTGGTATGTACAGACAGTTTTATCTGAACTACTGTTGCTAGGAGACATGAAAACCTTCTAGTAGAATGTTAATAAGTGAGTCTTCTGATAGTTAAAGAAAACTTGTATCATTTATTACTGTCTTGGTTTACTATTCCCGCCTAAGTAGACATACAAAATGTTTAGACTTTTACGAACAAGATTCATTTTTTAAATATATTTTTAATGATCACTAGATTTTTGGTTAATTTGGCTTTTCAGACAGAGATGTGCAGGCTAACGTGATTACTAAAAATACCAAAATGCAATTTCTCAGTTATTTCTACTTGTATCCAGCCTCTATAGTTGCACCTGCTTTATTCAGTTGCATAACAGTCCCTGTAAGGCCCAAAATAACTTGAGTTGCTTTGCCTGTTGTGGCGCTAACTTCCAAATTTAAATTGAAAGCTTATGGTTTAGTCAAACTAGAATAACAATAGGACGGAAGTCTCCTTGCAACTAGGAAAAACAGTGGTTGCTCAATTACCTGACCGACCACTTTCAGTCAGGAGGTCACCTGGTGGAAGGTAACTTGTCTCCAAATAATTGCAGTTAGAATGAACCTGACTGCAGTCACCTCTCAGACAGAGAAGTAAAGATTTGCAAATAACTGCTGTCTAATTAATAAATGCAGACAGACACTGCAATCAGCATAACTCAGTCTGCAGTGATTAGGGACTCAACTGGTTCTATTCCTGTATAAAACCAAGGTTGCCATGTGTCTGTCATTTTGAAGTTAAATCGTCATCAGGCAGCAACTATCTGATCTGAATGGCAACAGATCTTGCTGTATTATTGGGGCGACCGTGGCTCAGAGGGTTGGGAAGCGTATCTGTAACCGGAAGGTCGCTGGTTCGATCCCCGGGCTCTCTGTCCTGGTTGTTGTGTCCTTGGGCAAGACACTTTACCCTACCGCCTACTGGTGTTGGCCAGAGGGGCCGATGGCGCGATATGGCAGCCTCGCCTTTGTCAGTCTGCCGTAGCTTGCCTCCACCAGTGTGTGAATGTGAGAGTGAATGAATAGTGGCATTGTAAAGTGCTTTGGTTGCCTTGAAAAGTGCTACATAATTCCAATCCATTATTATTATTATTATTACAAACACATTGTATGTAAATGCCAACATGACCCCATTCAAATGCAAACTGACAACTGAAAGTAGACGACTCCATCTCATTGCTGTTCCAACACTGTATTGTCATACCAAAGTTGCTTTGAACACGATGACCCTGTCGGTTTCAAAAGCGATGATTGTTCACGGTGCACGCGATGGAAACAGTTTTGGTTATGCCGCAGTCTCCAGCCACTTTTTGTCCTAGTGTGACTGTCGCATTAACAACACTTATTTCTATCCAGGCATTCTAGGAAGTCACAAAGGACTTCAAAATACAAAATTCTAGGCCTCTGGCACTGGAGCACCTACAAGATTCTTCCACTTTATTTTTTTTTACATTTGAGTTTTGACTACATACACCTATGAAAATATCATCTGTGATACATGCAGTTTGTTTTAGTGATAATATGTTAATGATTTTCTCTTGGTTTCTTAAAGTACAAAAAAACTCTCTTCTCTTGGACTATTCAGCAGGAAAACTAAAGGAAAGAGAAAAGAAGAGCTCAGGGAGTCCATTAGAAGACTTTTGAGTGACATTTAATTGAATCAGACAACATAAAAGAGAACACAATGCACTGACACGATAAAAAAATAACAGAAATGCTTAATTCTAGCTCCAGAGAGTGATTTACTACAGCTAGCACACATGGGTATTTAACGACATTCTAACACTGTCTTTAGATTTTGCAAGCTGCTGCATCCCACAAAGAGAGAAATGGTCCATATTATTGGTGCTTCTAATGGCTTCTATCTTCAATTTGAGGCCCTGCACACCCATGTATTTTATTTCAACCAGTGCCTCAATAAGAAGTTTATATTGGTTATTTGGTTAGATTTGGGGGGGGGACAGCAATATAGCTTGTTTTGGGTTAAAATGTGACTTTAAAGAAGTTTGGCAGAAGTTGAATTGAGACCCCTTTTGAAATTTGTTATGATACAGTTAAATTTTAAGGTACCAGTGTTGTTTCTATGGCGTTCTGTCGGCAGTTAGGTCAAACCTTACGAGAACAAAAAGATGTAAGCTGGTTGTACCTTAACAGATGAAGTAAAGCTAGCTGGAGGTTAAGGAGGTGTCAGTTTCTCACAGGAAAAATAATTAAATTGGCTGTTTCAAAGAAAAATGGTTAGAACCTTTGCTGTCAGCATTTAACGTGGTTCAGTATTCATCTATGTGCTAAACAGCTTTTAAATCTCCAAGGAAGTGGTATTCTTTATCTTGGTGTTGAACTTGACAGATTCATAAATATTCAGGATGCAAAAAGATTAAGTAAGCTACTTGACAGCTTGAATTCATGACTCGTGACTCATTTTTCTCCACACTGTAATCATTTGCTTTATGGGTATTTATGTATTTATTATGGTTTGTGTCTATGACCCTAAAACCTCTATAGTCGTGGAAATTAGTTAAGAATGTATAAACTGCTTGGTATATCTTTGAAGGAAAATCATGTATATAGCATCAATAACAATGGTAAAACCATCATCATAATCTAGTAATTACAGGACTGGATGTGGTTTGACAGAATGAGCCATTATAAAACGAAGAAGAAATATCTGATGTTACCTTCATGCATCTTGTTTAGTGTCGAGGTTGTGTTTGAACAGCAGTCTGTGCTGATCAGCCAAATTCAATTAGGACCTTATCTCTTATTCACAGTCAATTAAAATGACAAAGAACTGTCACAACGCTGCAGACTGCTGCACCGGCTGCCTGCCGCACCAGCTGCCTGCCAGGTAACTTTTAAAGTCACTTTTACCGGAAAACAATGAACACAAGGCAACATTCACCACAGCACAGCAGAAGGGTTTGGTACTTGGGTTAAATGTGAGTCCATTTTTTTCCACACAAACAAATAAAACCTTTTAAAAACTTCTTTCTTCCTACTTTGGCCAAGTGTTTTGTTTTATTTTAAAGAGATCTCCTGATTGTTGGGGATTCTCTATTGTAATATCTTTATATTAAACATCTTGAGGGTACTTTTGTTGTGAATTGGCACAATATAAATACTGATTTGCATTGAGATGAATTAAATAGTCATTTTTCAGCTACAGTTTTTGCGTGGAGTTTATGACCACAATGGATGATGTACTTTTAACCTCATGGTATCTTGCAGAGCAACTTCAGAAAGATGTTTTGAAACTGAAAATGACACAAAAAGAACATGCACAGAAAGTGAAAGTGAGTAAAAGGTAAAACAATTTACTGTTGTGCATACAATGTTATAAGGCTTTGGCAGTCTCTGTAATTAGAAAGTATTACTGGCGATTGTATAAATAATAGGAGTGACAAATGATAAAATAAACACGTTGCGTCATCAGATTTTAATAAAATATAACACAATTGGAAGAGATTTTCCAAAATATTTGCAGTTACTTTTCAGAAGCTGCTTGGTGAGACATTCCCAGTGCAAAAGGCTCAGACAGTGTGTCGTCTTCTGTATGTTTTACTCTCAACTTAAATCGCCTTACAATGAGAACTTGAGAAATATTGAGCAGCAAACTTCCTATATATTTCCAGGCAAATGTTAGAACAAGTTAGAACAAAAGAGATGAATTCAGCTTGAAGTTCAGTCCCGCAGAGCTGTGGTGATGCAAGAACCTCATTTTAACAGAGCTTCTTTGAAATGGCACCGGCTTTGTGTGGTTTTGAAGTGAAAAAGAACAAACAGGCATGTATTCTGAGTTTTTTTTCCTGCACCTTGCAGAATGAGTTCATTGGCAAGTTGCTTTATTTAGAAACAAACAGACGTCTGCTCGCCTTGAGACCTCAGTTTCCCACAGAAAGCCCAGATGTAATATGCTAATGCAATCATGCACTTCTTCTGGCTCTCTGAGAAAGAAGTGCTGCACCCTGGTAACACTTCAGAACCATTTAAACTTTCCATTTGTATAAATCCCCCCATTCAAGTCACTCAGAACTCCAAATAATACTAATTTCTGATCCTCTTTTGAATTTTTAACCATTATAAATGTGGTATTTGCATCCAGATTTGTCTGCATTGATGCTTAGCCAAATGTTACAAAATTGTTTTGTGTTGCAGGGATTTGGGACACACTGAAGGTCCCGCTGGTGCTGATCCACAGCACACAGAACAAGCATGAATCATTAAAGAGAGGCTTTGCTTTGATGTTTATCAGTGGCTGCCTGAGTGTCTACGCATATTCCCCACAGGGATGGGGAATCTCTTCCCTTCCAGATGTGGCTGTAACCTGGAACAACCTGTGCTTTTATGTGCTTGTAGCCTGGGTCTTAGTGTGTCACTGATATGCTCAGGTAAATTCAGAAATGTGCCCGATCTTTAGATCTTAATATTAATGATGTGATGGGCATTATACATTAACAATTTATATATTTATTTATATAGCTTGACGCTTATGGATCAATGGAATTGGGTTGAAATTGACATTTTACATCAGTGAGATTTTTAAATAAAACAACAGCCCTTTAGCGGCAACTAGATTTTATACAACCTTTGCAACAGCAAATGTTACTGGAACCACTGTTTACACTAGATTATGTGTTCTTCTTGTTTTTTATTTTGATGAACTGCGAGAGATACCCTGTGCATTGAAGGACTGGGAACCCCCAGCAGTAAACAAGCTAGTGAATTACATGGTGAAGGAATCGCCTCACACTCTGCAAAGCAATAGATGTGAGTTGTTTTTTTTGTTGTTTTTTTTTTGTTAGTTTTGGTTCTGACCTCAGTTAGGTGACCTACATTTACTTTCACATTGTTAATTTATGGATGTGCAGTAATTTGTTCCGATGTTGCCGTAAAGTTAGATGCTAATGTGTGATAGCTTTGTTGTGCTAGCTAAGAAAGGTTTTAAGAGGCAGTTTCCTTTGATAAATTTTCACCTGTCAGCATAAGTCTCAAGAAAGAAGGTATATGAAAATATGAGTTTGCCTGGCTATTGAACTGCATTTGATTCTGGGAACTTATTGTTTAATTTGCAAATATGAGTATTGAGCAGATTTCAAGTGGAAACCAGAAGGTTTTCCTGAGAAGATGATTGTGCCCCTTGACAACAGATTCTACTCAGAGAGGTGAACACATCTTTGTGTAGAACACACAGCAGTAACACCAGATTACAGCCTAATGTGTACAGTGTAAGTAATCTAATCCACAACTGCAGGTCCAAAGGAAAAGATTTACATTTTAAGGGAACAAATCAGATCCCGATCTGCTCTCATTATGAGCTATGTATAGCCATTACGGTAGGCTACTTGCTGTGAGTTTGGGGGAAGATGGGATCATTGATTCTGTAGCCATTATTATTCAGAGATTGTATTTTTAAATTAACATGGCCTACTTACCAGCACTGGAGGGGGAAAACACAAAATAACAAAGCAAAATGGGGGTAGGCAGAGGACAGAGGACACACTTCTTTTTATAGGTTTTGGGCTTTTGTTGTGTAACTAGAAGGGAATCTCAGTTTCTGAACACTTCATCAGCAAACTATTGTTTTGATGCTCATCTATGAGTCATATGAGCTCATCAATGATCCACAGGACATCTGAAAATACCCTGCCATCAGTGGCACACAGCCAATCTTGAGCATAATAACTGTTGTAACATAGTGATTGTTCGCTTAATTTGAAGTGCTGTTTAATTTTGCTCAACAAAATGAACATTGTGCTTATGATTTTTGTATAATCTGTATTAAAACATCCCCCAAAATTAGTAAATGTATGAATTTGATTGGACTACACTCATGGCTTAAATTGAAAATATTATGTTAGTCTATAAATGTTTTCATGGTGACTATAGAACTGCTGCTGGGTGAAGCCAAATCACGATAAGGTACAAGTGTTGACTCTAATGCAGGACTCCAAAATGTAATATATTCTTAATAAAACAAACTCACTAGGAAAAACGGCCCCATAAGGAATTGATTCCACATGACCAAAGGGGCAAAACAAGTATCCAAATAGTCCAGGAAATGGACCGTAAGGTAACGAGGGTTAAGAATTGGAAGGCAGAGACTCCAGAGAATTCCAGAGACAACAAGGAACAAAGTACCTACAAAGTAGGTATCTATAGATACGTTAGATACGTTTATCCTACCATAAAACAATAAGACAAGGTATGACCTCTCCCATGCTCCCAGAATGTTGGTGTGAATGCCAGAACATTCTGGAATGCACACAAAGCCTTTGTAGACTATTAAGGATCACACATCCTATCACTACACAATCGATTATACACCTCTAAGCATATATGGTTAAATATTTCTAAGCATAAATGACAATAAACAATACAAATCTTAACAAGAGCTGTTGCCACATTCACATGATAGGGTTATGTACCCACAGTTTGGGCTGCTGATGGTGGTGCTGGGGTGTTATCTTGGCACAAAGGAAGCTTTCTGGCATCTCCCTGAAAATTTTAAACAGCTCTGAAGACTAGAGGGTCAGAGTGAAAGTTCATTTTTGCTCTCAATTAGTATCTAACCATTCAACTTATTATCAAAATATTAAAAGTTTCACATTGAAAAGAAAATACAAATGTACTAAGTTTCTGGAGCAGGACTTGTATTAAACCTCTTCTGACAGAACAGTCTGAACAGTTATTATATATTAATACATTTTTAAATTTGTTGCAGGCCATTTTTTGACAGTATGAGCAAAGTTTTACTGTGAATGGAAATCCAAGATTTAAAAGACGACAAAGCTAGCTGCCCTGTTGCCTCAGAATTCTTACGAATTATTTAGTCTGGCTCTGAAATGACCTGAAAGATGTTTTTCTTGAGCCGCACTGTTTCATGTTTTCCCAGTTAAATGCATTTTTAATGGAACAAAGGGTGAGTAAAACCCCTGCTAAGTAAAGACAGTTAAATACTTTTTTTGGCAGGCGTATTCATTCAAAGTCACTGATGTAAGTGTTTGACAATAGGCTTGCCACACGCCCACTCAGGTTTGCCTATGCTGATGAAAACACACTCTGTGTGACGCTTCAAGTTGATAGTATCTGTCATTTTATATAAGACAAGAGGCACTGAACTGCTGCTGGGTTTCATTTCTGCTTCCATTGAAGTTTTTCTAAGCCCTGAAGCAGCTGTCAGCCAGTACAAATTTACGAAACCACATTGGTGGACTTAGTCTGCATATGGTGTGGTGATTCAGATCATTATTACTGACCCAGAGGAGCTAATACACATCCAGTGGTACTATAATTGATTAAAATACAAAAGGCTTCCGGTTTACTACACATCTTATGAGTACGGAGCCTTTCAGTATACTCTGCTTCTTTATTAATATAATTATTTACATTTTTCTAAACTCAATAGGAAGTTTTTTGTGCACTGGGATTCAAATATTTTGGTTTCTAATACAAAAGCTATAGAAATACATTTCATTGATATTGATGTTTAAATATGCAATGATGCAGAATTCACATTTAGTCCAATTCTATACAAAGTCACAAAATTGAGACCTGGAAGTAAGTTAGTTAAAACACTAGATTTACTAAACCTGCACAAATTTGCGTAACTTCCCTAAACCCAACACCTACTAGAATTACTGGCTTTTTTATTTTCTGGTGGAAGTCCCGAGGTGTTAATCACCCCTGCTGAGATTTTCACAGGTCGTCAGCTCTTTCCTCCTCCAGCTTTTGTTGTGCAAACCACCCATTATCCTTGAGGCCTGGCCCGTTTGCATTTGCTCACTCAGAGTTGCTCAGATCCAAGCCAGGCCAAACCTCTGTGTTACAACCTTCAGAAACAATTTCAAAGTGTTTCAAACTTTACAGCGTTTGCAGACCCAGTGTTCATCATCCCTGCATTTGGCACAGGTGAATTTCTGACATGTTGCACAGGTAAACCTGCTGCGATTCCTGTTGCAGCTCTCTTGCACCTGGCACTGCGTTGTCTTTCCAGTCCCTGGCACAGCAGCTGCAGCAGCTTCAGCAGCCTGTGCTAATATTTCCTTGTGCTGCATGAATCGGCAACGAAGTTCCTGAGCTAGAAGACTCAGAAACAATCTTCTTTTGCCTGTCCACCCTGTACATGCCTTGTACAAAATGTAGGCATTCCCCGCCGCCAGGTCCAGCATATTGTAGAAAACTGCTACTGGCCACCTGCGTGTTGCTGCTCTTACGGAATACATCCGCGCAAGTTGAGGAAGTTCACGCTGGACTTTATTCACCGTGCCCAGTAATGTTGTTTTGCGCTGCAGCAGTCTGTGCGACAGTGACAGTGAAGTAAAGAAATTGTCCGTTGTGACGTTTCTCCGATCATCCAAAAACGGCTCCATCAGTTTCATGACCACGTTCTCTGCCAGCCTCTCTCCCTTCCGATGATTGGGGTCCTTTCCCAAGTAAGGAGATGCACTGCAGACATATTTGGTGTCCAAGTCTGTGGCCATCCAGAACTTGATCCCAAATTTGTCTGGCTTGGTTGCAATATATTGTGTGAATGGACAACGAACCTTGGTAGGGAACAGTTGTTCATCTATGGTCATGTGTTCTCCTGGAGTGAAACTCTTAGCACAGTTCTCGTTGAAGCGTGTCCAGATGTCGGAGATTGCTGCAAATTTGTCTGTTTTCACCCGTTCTGCCCGCGTGTCCTTGTCATCAAATCGAAGGTGTTGCATAATTGAAATGAATCTATCTCGGGGCATTGTCTCTTTGATTACTGGCACCAGAAATCTTTCTGACCAGCAATCCACAATGGCACCAACAGGACACATGATTGCTCTTACAAACAGGATTGAAATGAATGCCATCAGTTCATGAACTGACAAATTCCAGTCCGGCTCTGTTCTGCGGGCTTGATGTACCGTATACTCTCTGATGGTGTGTAGCATTCCCACGTCTAACAGGCAAAGGAAGCTTTGGAGCACACTTGTAATTTTACGCTGTCGGAAGATAAATAGAGAATGGTAAATTTACATGAACCTCACTCTAAATGGGTTTATATAAATATCATATGTAATATGGCAGTGACAAACCTTAGCAGACTCTGTGGGTCCAGCTTGCGCAGTGAAGCACGAGCTCCTGCACTGGGCATTCCAATGTCCTCCTCTACCCACACAGTGCCGTCTTTTGCCGCCTGGCTCAAACAGGGCTTCCCAGTACCACGGGGCCTCTTCCGTGGAGGCATGTTGGGTTCTTGTTCCGTCTCCTTTTCAGATTCTTCTGAGGAGGTATCAGTGGCCTGCTGGACAAATGAAACCTCTCCTCCATCAGAATCTGCTTCGTCCATTTCCTGAAGCAAGGCCCAAGCCTGTTGCGCGGAGAGGTTCTTCCTGCGTGGCAGTGATACGGAGGCCATCCTGATGTGCGTTCTCAGAAATGCGAACAAGAAATGATTCTCCCTCCTGGTCGGTCTGCTTTTATGCACAGCACTGTGCTGTAGTCAAGCAATGCCACTCCTACACATACACAAATCTCTCCTGGTTGGGGGAGGGTGTTTTGCGCAATGAAAGCAGGAGAACAATGGAGCTGAAGGCCTGTGAAAATCTCAGCGGGGTGTTAGCACTAGAATTACTGAGCCTTTTTTTCCTGCTGTAAGTCCCTACTACTACATTTACTAACCCTGTGCAAATTTGCGTAAATTCCCTGAACCTATCACCTCCTAGCACCCTGCTGAGAGGCTTTCATCTCCATTGTAGGGTTGTAACACCGATTTTTCTCTTGCCTTGGATCTGAGCTACTCTGAGTGAACAAATGCAAATGTTCCAGGCCTCAAAGATAATGGGTGGTTTGCACAACAAAAGCAGGAGGAGAATCGAGCTGATGATCTGTGAAAATTTCAGCAGGGGTGATTAACACCTCGGGACTTCCACCAGAAAGTAAAAAAGTCAGTAATTCTAGGAGGTCTTACGGGGAGGTTCAGGGGATTTACGCAAATTTGCGCAGGGCTAATAAATCTAATAGTAGGGACTTGCACCAGGAAAAAAAAAGGCTCAGTAATTCTAGTGTTTAAAGTACTTTTATTCAAAACTAACCAAGTCTGGCAGATCACATTGAATTTTGAATTTAATGACACTTGCTACGCCAGAGTCAGTCTGATGAAGGCAGAGCTGGATCCAGCTCAGGCATACAAAGATGTGGTCTGGTGGAAAAGTAGCCATACCAAAACCAGAACACGTGTGTATTGGTAGTGCTTGGATTCCACATAGTACACATCAGTCATAACTAATCTGGAAGCACCTTTAATAACAGGCCAATGTTATGGTCTCATTTGCATGTAAACGTGAATGCTTGGAGTAAAAAAGATGCTTTAGTGGCATCAATGTAATGAGCCTAGGAATTTTCCATATCAACCTCTTGGTCTTCATTTAGACATGACCAGACCTCCCTCTGCCGGCCACTTCCTCCAACTCCTCCAGTGGGACACCGAGGAATTCTCAGCCCAGCCAAGAGATGTAACCTCTCCAGCCTCTTCCCACTAGGACATGCCCCAAACGGAGGCATCCCGGTCAGACGCTTAAACCACCTTTACTGCCTTCTTTCAATGTGGAGGAGTAGCAGCTCTACTCTGGGCTCAAGAAGGCGCTCGTTCATTTGGGAGAAGCTCAGACAACCTACAAAAAACCTTCATTTCTATTGCTTGTATCTTCTGTATATTCTTTTGGTCACTAGATTGTGACTGCTCCACTCTCACCTCACTCATGAAGAAAATCAAAATAAGTAAATTCCCATCTGTGAGCACTGGGAGATGCTTAAGCTTGGGCTTTCAAATCATTAAAAGAAAAAAAAAACCCTCTAAACATACTGATGAAGATGATCATGGATTTTGTGCTGCTTTGCAGGTTGGAAGGGTTTGTTTGGTGACCTGCAGTTAGCCAATTAAAGCTCTCTCTCCACAGCTTTTGCTCTCTTCTTAAAAACATTTCCTCTACTAAACAAAAGAACACCTGGAAATAAACACAATGCACTGACTGATTTTCTTTTCACAAAATAACTGCAGTAATTGGTTTCAGCTATAGGGCTGAAAAAGGTCAGAGATTGTTTAGTGCAACATTTATTTAAAAATGTTATGCAAATGTATTCATGGTTCTAGTTATGCTTTTCTGCTTACAACAGGGAATAACTGCTGTTGTACTTTCCTCTGATGGAGGTTTTTGTAACGTTTGATGTTGCAACTTGGAGCCAAATTTGCAGCTTTAATGGAGGAAATGTACTGGAAGACTACACAATGGCTGCCAGGAGTCCAATAAAGTCCTTCCTCTCACTGTACAGACAAGCAAATTTCCTGTGTCTGCATACCTGACAAATGATAACAAAATATTGTTTTGAAGACCATTTCCAAGCACACACATTTCTGTCAAAACAACTGGAGGCAATTGTCATGGTCCCCGCACCTCGCCAGCTGACAGCAGTCAGGCGCTTTGTTTTGTTTATTCTCCTCTCTCGCCTCTGCTCTCTCTTTCTCTCTCGTCCTCTCCCACTCTCTCCTTCTCCTGCCGGGGCGGAGCTCAGTATGGGCTCCTGCTCCTGGCCCACGCACCTGGGGATGATCAGCACACCTGCCGCTGATTACGAGAATTGGAGTCCTACTTAAGATGGCGAGTCTGCTCTACTTGTCGCTGGATCGTTGAGCTATCAGCGTCAATCGTCCTGCACTCTGCAAAGTTTGTTCGTGAGTACGTCTGAACCAGGAGACTAACTGTTTCTCTGTCTGTGTATAGATTTTCCCTGGACCCGTTTCCCTGTGCACGGTGACTGAGCGTGAGCAAGAGTGTTAGAGGAAAGAAGAGGAGCTGTGTGTGTTTGCGAGGGCTGTATGGAAATCTCCCCTCCCTGGACTCCTGTCCCTTTCACTCCAGGACCCTGGAACCCCGGCCCCTTTTCCCCAGACACCGTTGTGTGTGTATATATATTTCACTGTGGAGAACACTGTAAATAAATTCACTTTTGATTTGAAGGAACTTGTAGTCTGCGCCTGAGTCCGCTCCACTAATCGTGACAGCAATGAAGCTGAACAAAAAACAGCTTCTTGTTTTAATCAGCAATTCAAAGTACCGTAAAAAAAAAAAGTCAGAGATTGTTTATAGGCCTTATATTTCATGCCAGCAGTCATTTTGGATAAAAGAAAGATACCCGTCTTTCTCCCCCCCAAGAGTGAACCCACATTTGCAGGGAATGAACCATAAAAGCTGGTGACATCCATGGGTTTTCATCCTGTTATAAGCAGCACAGGTGCATCATGGCTGTGGTATCACCTCCTGTCATTGGCTGCGCATCACATCGCCTGTCCATGAGCTGGTCGACAGAAAATGTGGCAGCAAAGTGAGGGGGTGGAAATCAAACAGGGGAAAAAAAAAAAAAGTAAAATGGGGTTTACTGTGGCACAATGACAGTTCAATCGGCACGCGGTCTTTGGAGTCTCCGATGGGTTACACAGCCTCAGTGTTTAGCTGTCCCTTTGTAAATGTCATAGACAAAGCAGAAATGCCAGGCTTTGTGTATTTTCTGGCTGTAGCATGTCCTGCAGCAGAACAAAAGGAGTTATTTACATAGACACGGTGCAGATGTCCGTCACGCGTGTGATTTGGCAGCATTGAGCCTCACACAGAAAGGACTACGTGTGGCACAGGAAAATAACTGCTTTATGTGAGCTTCTTTTTTTTTTAAGGGTCTAAAAGGTACTGTGATTAGTAGGTAGATCTGCTGTGGCTGGTACAGCTTTGTCTCTAAAATATTTTCAGTAGGTTTATTATGCCCGGTTTAAGGGGGCTGAGATGCAAAATGAAAAGCATCCATTTTCCCAGAGCAGCCTCATGAACAGCTAACTAATGATGAATAAAGGTTTCATTTATTAATCAACACTTTTACAAACATAGGAGATTAAATTAGTGTTGGGGTAAGTTAGGGCCAGAATAACAAATCAGTCCACAAGTCCCAAACAAGATAAACCCAACTAAAACACGAAGGCTTACCTTACCTTACCAAAATAAAAAGGCCTATGCCTGCTTTAAGTTTGAGCATAAAGCTCACAGCAGAAGTTGCAGAAAACCACTTGTGTTGCTGGTTGGGAGCTGGTTCCTTATGTATGGTGTGGTCATCAGGTTGGAACCAACATCTTTGAACTCAATATTGGCAGACCTTTGCACAAAAGGAGAAAACACCACCTTACCCCCAAATTAAGCATCTTACTGCAATGTTTAATTCAAGAATAAAGCCAATTTAATGAAAAGCAGGTGATTGGTTATAGGTTAATCTATACCCTGGTAGTCTAGTGGAAAAGCATAACTTACACTAAATCGATTGGTGTTAAGCTTAAGTTTAAAAGGAAGAGCAAAACTGGCAAGTCAAAGGATCAAACCAAAGGGCTTCAATAAACTAATCAAAATTTTTAGATGAGTCACTAAATCAGTCAGTCGTAAAACAAATCTAAGCTAACAACAATACTTTCCTATAAAACAGCCTTTCTCTCTGCATTTTTTATTCATTCGTTTATTTTTCATTCCCTTGTCTTAATTTTTGGCACAGGGCCCGCATCCTTGCAGACATTCTGCTGAGCATTTTCAACAAGTTTCTGTTCACTTCTATTCAGTTTAATTTTTTGTTATAAAACACCAAATCACAACAGCAGTTGCCTCAAGGCTTTTTATATTGCAAGATAAAAACATTATTCGCTATAATAGTCCACTATATAATAGTGATATATTTTATTAGAACAGCACAGCAATTGCAAACATATGCATAAATAACAATGACAATGTTAATAAAAATCACACAGTATTGATAATACAAGATATTTTTAAAGGCAGTAGCACTCCAAGATAGTGTGTGTCTGTGGGTACCTGTGTGTACACCTATGTGAACACTTGTGTACACATCTGTGTGGGTGTGTGTGTGAGCGTGTGAGCGTGCTTATGTTCATAAGGTTTCTCCATGTAGTGTCTCATAGTGGGTGTGGGGAGCCACAGCCCCTGCCTGAAGCAGGCATGGAGGAGACCCGGACCACAGTCATCCAAAGACCCAGGAACACCTTAGTCCCCAGCAGGGATCTGACAGAGCCAGGGGGCTGAGGCCCCGCCAAGCAGCTCCTGGGAGTGAGCCAGCACACAACAGAGCATCCACCCAGTGGGGAGTCTGACACTTGACCTGACACATAGACAAACAGGCACACACAGTCACCAGCATGCATTCCCACCCTCATGCACACATACACACCCAACATGAAGACACACAGCAAATCCTACCATGTGAATTCATGGATTTTTTTTTCACATTCTGTCTCTCACAGTTGAAGTGTACCTCTGGTGCAAATTACTGACCTCTGTCATCATTTTAAGTGGGGGAACTTGCACAATCGGTGGCTGACTAAATACTTTTTTGCCCCACTGTATGTGTCTTGAGAATGCAATGAATAAGAGTGTCTAAGTTGTGAAGTAAAATTGAGACACAGACGGCCATGGGGGCAGAGAGAAGGAGGACCTCCTCTGCACCTCAGTGATGCACCTGCACCCCAAGGTCCTGCATGAGTGGGTTGATGGAACGAGAGGAGGGATGTACTGTAATTAGGGATAGGGAGGAAAGGACCAGCTGGGCACAATACCGCTGTTACTCAGAGAGGTGTGGTGAGGGAAACATCAGTCTTCACTCTATCTTAACTGAAGTAATTGTTTTTATTATCTCTCGCCAATATCATGCACATACAGACAGCATCTATACTTTAATTCCATTGTTTGTTCTCAAATTCCATCGTTTTCATTTTAACTCCGTTGTTTTCGTTCAAATTCTTTGGTTTTTGA